TTAAAAAAAAAAAAAAAAGAAAAGAAACACTTTTAAGATGTTCACCAAACATAGGAAGAACATTATCTATTGAAATAAGTAATCATTTCCCCATAAGTTTATCAATCCTCGGTACCTTCCTAGTACATCAACAGGTACATTAGAAATAAATATTGCATCAGATCCATTGTTATCTACATGTTACAAGAGGTATATAACTATCATCGAACTAGTATCAAACTATATTTATTGAGGTTCATAACAATCATATGCTACTTCTATAAGTATGCCCTTGTCAAATAGTATCACAAAGGCCCAAAAAAACATTTCCCCAAATACAAACATGATCAATTTATGAGATGACGGCACGTATATTATTTACAGTCTCAAAGAACACATCTATGAAATTAAAGTCTGAGACCATGCGTCGATGGTAACATGCACGTCCAATCATTATTTTCAGAATCTCAGCTATTCCATTTATAAAGTGTGCATCACTCAAAAAGAATTATACCAACATCTATTCAACCTCAAAATTCTCATAAACTATGCAAGGAGCATCTAGTGTGTAGATTATACCTCCTTCATTATAGCTTGGCAAACTGCCTTTTGTCTATCAGTTTTGCAGCGAGCCAAAGCCCTCTCAACATAGCCGCGCAATGATTTTGGAAATACACCAGGCTGCAAAAGTAACAAAAAGAAAATCCATAAACATGAGTGCCTACAGAATCTTTCATACTAATCAGTGATTTGACTGCAACAAGCTGTAAATGCGGTTTAGAAAACTGAACAAAGTTACTCAGTATTCAACTTGAGGTCGATAGTTAAGAGCTCATCTGAGCTTGATGTGATTCAAACTTCAGTGTTATTATTCGATAAGATGCAACTCGTAACCAAACTCAAACACACCTATGAAGCTAGACTTAATTTCTAACAAGCATAAATAGAGTATTCAGCTCGATTCGATTCATTTACTCCTTCCATCAGTACGAATACATTGGTTTGAAGTTTGAACATTGTACAACACTCATATAACTCATGCTACTTAACTGGGAATTATCGCAGTTTTATTTTTCTTATCCATACGACCAATGCTCCGAACCCGTTCTCAGTAAACGAAGAATGTATAAGTTACAACACTTGAAAGAAGAACTTCCCCACCACATTATATAACAGATGCTAAAAACTTCTATCAATGCTACAGAAGCAAGCTATGTCAGTAAATGCATTATCCATTGCGCCTTATATAACATATAACTGAGGGATAAATGGCAAATAAGAATTTGTTCATTTCAATTTCCACTACCCAAGATCGGCTTTACAAAATTAATGGTTTATGGTACCAAATACCAACAAGAAAAAGTATAAAGCATTTTTTGCCATCTTTTTTTTCCACAACCGCCTAAGTTTCAACTAAAAAGAACTAAAACGAAGAGATGATTTTCCATAATTGCAATTGAAGTAATGAGCCTCCCCATACGGGGAGGCTCATTACATCAACTAACGCCCATGTTCCTCGAATGGATCTAATAGTTTTTCAGAAAGTTGCCCAAAAAAAGTATATAAGGCGTACCCAGTAAAACATATAAGTAAACCAGATAAGATTCTTAGTGTTTTTCCAGAGATATCAAATGTCATCGACCTCAGCTCAAAATGGCAAAGCTTCATTCAGTAGTTAGTCGGTTTAGCAATGTTGATACTCCACTCTACTAAATGACTGCTTATTCCCAAACTACATTACTAGAATCGTGCCAAATTATTATACAATCTCATCCAAATGATTTAAGGTCCTGTAGAAATCAATTTTAGGTTTTTCAATTTAACAAATGAATATATTTAACAGTTTTTGTTTATATGGACTCTGCTATAACCAATTACACTCGGTAACAATGTAGCATATTTTTGTTCAATGACAAACAATCTGGTCTAGGAGTCGGTGCATAAAAGAGCATTCTAACCTTGGGTGTTGTATCAACTTCATCATTTGACGCAAATATTTCATCCGGCTTCTGCATTGGGACACTGATATACGCAGGTTTTGCAGCTCCACCAGTCACAGAGCTACCTTGCTCATTTTTTACTTGATTCAAGGGTAAATTTGGAGCAATTCTAGGATTTGCTGACATTTGCAGCTTGGGTGCCTTGAGTGAGTCAAGAGGTTCAGAAGGTTGTGAAACTGTTTGCAGGGATGACTGGTGATCCTGAGAAACCGGGTAAGAAGCTTGAAACATTGCAGTAGATCCTTGGATATAAGTGGAGTTCTGTTGGTTTTGAAAACCTTCGTATGTAGGAGTTACTTCTGGTGGCTTTGGAGCTTGCAGTTGTACAGAATTAGATGGGTCGTTGTGGAAAGCAGAAGGCCCATGATTCAAGTAACCTACATGGGTACTGCCACTTAATGGGACAGACTGGCAGAAAAACCACAGCAATAACTCAGATTTGAAATAATATAATGTTGGTACAACGACATCTGTAATCTATCAAAATATCAAAAAAATATACAATCAAGCTTCAAACACAGAGCCAGCCACCAACAAAAGTGTTAATAAAATAACATTACATGATGCCTAATCAAACAGACATTCAGTTCAACAACTTCACGTAAGAGGGGCCTAGTACTAAACAGATATAGAGGAACTATAAAAAGCACTACCAATTACATGATCAGAAAAATTGAATTCACCACTTTATCCCGCGTACAGGTCGATCCCAGGAACAGGAAATAACATGTTCGTTAAGACTGAGCTTTATAGGATCTAATTAATTAATAGTAACTAAACAAACAGCCAGACAGTTTCTGGCTAAGATGACTATAAAAATAACTAAGCTTCAACACAACTTTGTGGCATGAACATGATAAACCATCAGGCAGGTTCCTGCAACACCAAGCTCATCATGAGAGTATTTGTTAAACATTAACATAAAGCGATACAACAAGAAAGGCATAATTCACTTATCAATACACTTCATTTAATAAATAACAAAAATTGATGGGGAGAGCTGCTTTAGATTCTGATTTTGCTTTTTGTTTGTATTTTATAAACAAGAAAAGCAACTCCAACTTCTTCGCAAAGCTCTTACTTAACTTAATCAAATCTCAACCACCTTTTTCCAAAGACAACCAGCTACCGATTCTCAACTATCAACTACTTTAGCTTTTGCTGCAATGAAGCAATCCCCAAGAGGCAAAGAAGCAATTTCTATTTAACATGCACCCGACATCTGTATAGATTTCGCAAATTAAACCAAGTCTGATCCTCTAGTTGATGAGTTGGCTGGTCACTAGGCATCAGAGACTCTTTTGTTAATAGTAAATTAACAAAGCAAAATAATTACATACAGCTTAGGTGAAAAGGATTAAAATAATATTTTCAATGCAAATCAAGTTCTGCATTTTCACAAAAATGTTACTAATTAAGACAAACAGTGACAAATTCAAATAACACCAAAATTTTCAATTAGGAGAATAGGAAACAATTATGATCATTACCATGATAAATAAAGAACATGACTGATTAATAAGAATAAAAGGTACAATCTACCCTACGATTATTAAATATCCATGAAGTTAGTCATTAGAATATATACAAATAGGTATCCCTCATTGAATGTCATAAGTTATTGGTTCACCAGATGATTTGTACATTATTATTTTTGTATCCAGAAAATGTGAATATTCTAATGCATAAATGTTAAGGCCCATTCCCTATATGTCATCTATAATCACAAGATTTTAAAATTTAAAACAAAGCGTATAAAGGACACACTTCTTACAACTAAAATATACTCATCAAATAAAGCATTATTTCTGACTTCATTAACCTATTGAGTAGTTATCTTTCTCCCAAATGAGATCATTCTTTTTTTTTTTTTTTTNTGTCTATAATATATGTGCATATATAATGAACACGGTACATATGTGGCAAAGCCAACACCTGTGATGTACTAAATTGACTTGATTGAGTTAATTTCTTACAAATACTAGTGCATTTCAGAAGCTTTTAAAAAATCTTTTTTCTTAGTTGTAGAGTTCTCATTTACACATCAAATGTGTATAGAAGAACCATTGTGGAATAAAGAATGAAATTCAAGATAACTGAACCACCACTTGCGCCCACAAATACACCAGCACACTCTACATCATGGTTGTAAATGAAAAGCAACATGAAATTGTGGGATACAAAAATTTGTAATTAAGTAATATTTTTTGTGGTGTCATGCAACTTTGTAGACGCTTTGCTCTAATAGGACATTCACAAATGTAATCGTTTTAAGAGCATTGGTTAAAAAAAGAGAAAGGGAGGGGGAGAGGGAGAGAGGGAGAGGGAGAGAGAGAGAGAGAGAGAGAAGGTGATAATAGAAAATAAAATGCCTATGTCCTAATTATCGTTTAATGGGGCAAAGTGAGTAACAGTTGGCAATACTAAATAATCAGAACGGCATCAAAGACGTATGGATAAGCTATAGCTCTCAAAATTACTCTAAATCGATATCTCTCTATCTTTCAGAGAAATAAAGGATTGATATATAACATACAGCTTTCAGAACTACTGAAAATTCAACATCTTCTCTATGTTGCAAAGTCCTAGTGTAACTTCAATATTTATTATCTAATCTAATTGGTGCCTGCCAATTTTCTTACTATGTTTAAACAAACCAGAGCTGATTCAAATGAAAAAAGGTTTTTATACTCAACATTTCTGCTTCCTACATCATTTTCAAACCAATGTACAATGGATTCAGATCAGCACGTGCACTTTTACTTATAAGCAACCAAGATGAAAGCCTGATGGCATCATAATTCTCCTATAAAGTACAGATTTTAAAGCAGAATTTAACCATATTTAAGAACTCTAATTGAACATTGATTAAGTCTGTAAACTAGATGTATGTAGATATTGCCGAGTATCATTCTTAGGGTCCTCCAAGAATTTGGCACGTCCTCAGGTACAACTTTACTGTAACAAGTCTTTATATTATATTTACCACGTAAGTACGTAACTAGGCTAATTTCTCTATGTAGTGCTCTAACTAATACCAGTCCTTATCACTTTTCCCTGCAGACATCTAGGACCATTTAGTGAGCTCAAACCCCATAATTCTCCAGTGATTCCTCTTCAATAGGTGACATTTGAGCAAACTTATTGATATGCTCACTGTTCTGCTACTCTTGTACTACAAATCCATTATAAAATTATCTTCAGATACTCATGCAGATGCATTTTGGTTTCTAGTTAGTGCCCATCTCATTGCAAGCAAAAGCCAGATAAATCTTGTAACACAACAATAGAGCCCTTCATAAAATGCAAGATAGCTATTGGAAACTAAGATGATCAAACCTGAACAGAAGTCATTTCAGATGAGCTAGACTCTGGATTCCATACAACTGTATAAGCTGTAGGCATCTGATTGATTGTTGTTTGTGGAAGACATCCACTAGGAACAGAAGTACTCACACTAGACACAACAGGGACAGATAGTTTCTCAGTCCCTGGTGCACAGCTAACTTCAGCTTGAGATTGATTATAGTAATCCTCCCATTGCTTCTGATAATGTTGCTGATACTGGGAACTCGCGACAGCAGAGGTCGAACTATAGGCTGAATTGGAGTCTTGAGTGTAGTTTTGATACTGTTGAGAACCATACGTCGCATATTGCCCTCCATCCCACGAATTGGTCTGGGTACCATAGCTGCTACTCGTATAACTTCCAGACGTCTGATAATCACCAGGATTGTAATAAGTGCTTGGGTAACTTGCAGGCCCAGCATAAGACCCTGTATTTTGAAATGAGGAAAGAGGCTGATAAGGAGCACCTGTGTTTTGATATGCTCCTACGTGGTGTGGGTAAGACTGATTAGGTTGCTGTGAATACTGAGTGAGTTGCTCCTGATACTGTGGGGGTTGTTGTGGATACTGACTAGCTTGCAGTTGATATGGGCTGGGCTGCTGTTGATATTGGCCGGGCTTCTGTTGATATGGACTGTAGTAAGCTGCATAACCTGTACTGCTATATCCATAAGGATCCGTATTTGAATAAGTGGCATAACCACTATAACCTTGTCCAACAGTTGCAGATACCGAAGTTGATGAAGAGATGGTAGGAGCCACATTACTTCCATCTTGAACAATTTTCATGGCTGGCTCAACTAGCTGATTGTTGCAAGAATTGGAAAGATTTCCATTCTCACTCGAGATATGACTCTCCCCTTGTGTGTTCCATGATGCTACAGCACAGTTTGGAGAGAAATAAGATGTGTGAACTTCATGCGAATCATTTACCTGCTGCTTCTGAAAATTCAGAGTTGAAACAAATTTATTAACAGAACCAAAAACTTCAAGAATAGATACCAAGGTAGAGACATATCAACTAAAACTGCAAGCTTGAGGAGGGTCAACGGAAAGAAGGCATTATATGAGAAAATATGAACAAGCGACACAACCTATTGAAGAAATGTAATAATATCCATGAATTACAGCAGTTCAAACATGCATAGTTCCCATTCGAAGAGCGAAAAGCTTATGACCTAGCAATATTGTATAGAGTCGCATGAAACTTGAGGAGCATACCTTGAAATCATCCATGGGGTCGACAAGCAGGATTCAACCAACTCCTCCAAGTCAACAACGACCGAGATTGACGAAGAACCTGATATTCATGACAATTGCGATTGGAAAAAATTGAAAAAGAAACAGTTACAAGAATATGAGATCGTTTTCCAACAAAACAGGGTCCTCGTTTCTTCCTTCTGATGAGATTGATCGATAATGAATTATTAAATTATATTGTTCGCTATTCGGCTGCTTTGCAGATATCTAACTGTTAATCGTAGGATGATTGGAGATCTGGGACACAGGATTCTATACTACAATCATGGCATGATTGGTATGATGGAATGGAATTTCGTAGGAATGCAATGAATTGAAGAATGGAATGATTATGGGAATGGAATGAAACATGTTTTGTCATTGATGCGTTTGGTATGCAGAAGGAATAGGACTAGAATGGAATGACATTATCATTTTTTATTATAAAAATAAATAAAAGTTCATTTTAAAAAATAGTATACTTTTAATAAATTATATATAAATGCTTTTTTAATAATATATAAAAATAAAATAATATATTTTGAATAATATATAAAAATAGAATAATATATTGTTTAATAATATAAAAATAATATATTTTTAATAATATATAAAAATAAATAATATATTTTTAAATTTTATATAAAAAATAAAATATTCTTAAAAGTAATATATTTTTGATATATAAAAAATAATATATTTTTAATAATATTTAAAAATAAAAAGTAATATATATTTAATAATATATATTTTATTTTTTAATTAAACAGTAAATAAAAATAAGTTTTTAATTTTTTATGTGAATTTTAGTTTTTAAAATAATATATTTTTAATAATATTTAAAAATAAAGTAATATATTTTTAATATTTTTCAATAATATATTTTTAATAATATATAAAAATAAAATAAATATTTTTAAATTATATATAAATGCTTTTTTTAGTTTTATTTTTATATAAGTATTTAATATATCTAATTAAAAAATAAATAAAAGTAAGTTTTCAATTTTTTTATTTGAATTTTTGTTTAAAATAATTTTATTTAATATATTTTAATCATGATTTATAATATTTATTATATATTTATTTTTTATTATTATTTGTTAATTTTATTTTTTTTAAAAATTGATTCCTACACACATGGGAATGAGAAAACCCTCCATTTACTATGGAATGGCTAATCCCATGGAGATGGGTTTTGTCATTCCCATTGGAATGGTCATTCCTTCCCAAAAAATATACCAATCATGGGATAAGGAATGAGTAAAGGAATGATCATTCCATTCTCATGTCATTCCATCATACCAATCATGCCATCATTGTTTTAAATAGCTCGTGGGTCGCTATGGCTATATTGCTTTTTTATCAAAGTATTTTTCCTGAAAAAATCTATTTTGCGCTATTTTTTTGTTATATTTCTGCAACAAAATTTAAATAACAAAATATTAAAAAACATATACTTTTTAAGAAATATAGTCGTATTTTCATATGACAATTAAAAACTAAAAAAATTTGATAATGATTTAAAATTAAAATTTTGAAAATGCAAAGTCTTAAGTTGAATAGTGTAATATTTATCGGTCTGATTCTATGATGTCATTTTATTTTTCGTTTAAATTAAACAATAAAAAGTTCAAATATAGTGGTTTGAATTAAGTTGTTGTTAAATTAAAAAATTAATTAAAATATACATACTTAAAATTAAACTATGACTTACCTTATTATATTTTATTTGTATGCTTTTATTTTTCAGCATATTCGCTTTATTATTCACCTATGAAATAATTATTCATGTTAAGATATTTACATTAAACATTTGAGAGAAATAATTCTTAAATGTTATTTTTTGGTTCATTCAAATACTATGATGATTTTTGGAATCAACTATCCAGTTTTATCATATGTAAATAAATATATATATATATATATATAATATTTCTATAAAAATATTTTTTTATACTCAAATAGTGCAACGCTATTTACGCTACGCAATACAATGATCAAAACGCGACGCATTACGCTATACGCATTTTAAAACACTGACTACAGCATACACATTCTTGAGAATTCGGTAATGGTTTTCAACCGTCGGATCTAATCGGATCCTCAGGCCTCGTTTGGTTCAGAGGATGAGAAAGGATAAATATTAAATACTCGAGGTTATCCTGCATTAGGACACAAGAATTAGGCCCGCGGGCTAATGTTGGCTCGGACATACGTTTGCCTGATGATTTAATCCTACGAAATGGCGTGATTAGTTTTATCACAGTTGAGGGTAGTGAAATATCCCTTTTGTCCCCACTTTACAAAATTCCAGTTTCACAAAAGTGAATTTTTGTATGGGCAACAACACAATAAAACAAAACCATGTTTCCCCGTCCACCAGGCCACCGGCCTTTGCAGCCAAATCTGACACACCTCCCCCCTCTTCGTGTGCTACTCAGCCTTCATAGTCCATCTGTCGCCTCATTGTTTGTCCCATTTTTGTTGCGTTTTTCCTTAATGTTTTACCTTTCTTTTTCCTCCATGTTAGGTCTTCCTTTGTTTTTTCGCCTGTTTTGTGTTTTGTCACGTGTTTTCCTTTATTTAGTTTGGTTAAGGCGTTCTTGTTTGTTTTTCTCGGTTTTCTGCGTGTTTCTCGTTGTTGGTGGTTGATCGGCCGATGCGTCGTCGACGGGACCATAACCGAACCTAAGAAGCTATCGAGGTCGTGTGCCTCGTAGCGAGTGGAATTATCCAACAAATGTGCATTAGCACGTATCTTCAACACGTTTTGTCATCCCGCACACGTGTCGCATTCTCGTTCGATCTTTGGAGCCGAGCCACCGAGTGCATGCCCATGCACCGAGTCCAACCGAGTCGCGCCCGTGCGCTCTGTTCAACGCCCTTGCGTCCGTCCGATCTACCGTCAACGCGTTATTTTCCGTTAGCCGTGGTTCAAGCACGCCCCTGCATCAGTGATTGTGGCACTGTTTAAATCCCTTTTGTAATGCCCTGAATATTTTTACTATTTATGGTGCTCGACTTTATTTCCAGAAATAGTAAGTTCGTAAATATGCCGAGTATTATTTATTATTATTTGTATAATTAATTAAAGTCCTAAGTCTAAGTCATGGAGAAATCGTTCAAATATTATTTCGGAAACGAAGTAAGATTTTAAGTCTAGTGTCGATTTATAATTTTAATCGAGTAATAGAAAAGTCAGGAATTTATTTAAATTTTTGAGCTGAGCCATTTTATTTCGGCCCAACCGAGTAGGCCCAATTAATTCAAGCCATAGCAATTAGTCGGCCCATTTTTTATTCAAGGTATCATTTTATTTGTCAAGCCTAGTAATATTAGAATTTCAAGTCCAAGTCAAATGTTTATTAAGCCCAATTTAAGAGCCCATTATCACTCACCAACCCTAGCTCACTTACATCTATATATATAGCACACATCACTCATGTCACCTTCATCATCCCCTTATCAAACCCTAGCCACCACAAGTCATCCCCCAAGTCCACCACATCAAGAAACCGACCAAGAACCGACCATTTTCTGGCCAACCATCTATTCTTCTGGTGAGCCGCCAGTAGGGGTGAGCAAAATCGAGCCAAAACCGGAAAACCGAACCGAAGCGATGTATTCGCTGCGGTTCGGTTCGGTTTTGAAGAGTTCGATTTTGGTGCGGTTTGGATTTTGAAAAACCGCGAAAGTTTCGGTGCAGTTCGGTTTTCTGTCCGAACGGTGCAGTTTTAACCGAACCGCACCGATTATTATATAATGTCAATTTTTTTAACATAATGAGGCCTGAGCACGCTTTTCATATGTACAAATTACAATTAATAACATAAGTACATTACATCACATTTACGCTTTTCTATTCAGTATTCATTCTTAAATCTTAATTCTCATATTATGTATTCAATTTCACTCTCTCTGTACTGTCACGCCCCCCACATCGGGTTGGACGGTGACGCGACGCCAAGCAGTAATATGTTGAACAATGAATAATACAAAAATAATAACACGGATATAAAACAACAATTCAAACTTAGTCCGGTGAGAATAAGTTTGATAATTGGGATACAAGTCATACAACATTGTAGCGCCCCGTTCGAATATTGAATTTTCTGGACTATTTATTTATGTGTATTTTATTTTATTCCGATAATTGCTCGACATTTATCCTTTAGACTTATTTTTATTTAATTAAATGTTGTCTAATTAATATAATAAGTCGTGTATTTTCTTTTTTTTTATCGTCAATCGAATCGATCGGGAGATTTTGTTATCGCATTGTACTTTCGGCCCAAATAGATTTAATTTCCCAGCTCTTTTTGTTGTTAATTTCAGGCCCATTTGAGCTATATTTTCCCTTGGCCCTTAACTTTAAAATCTGGCCCAGTAGTATGGCATACCATGACCCAATGATCAAGTAAATTACATCACGTGCATTTAAGTAGATATTTTTCCTTCTCCCAGCGACCGAGTCTTCTCTTCGCAGATCAAATTTGTTGTGATTTTCAGGCGAAATCCTTCGCACGATCGCACGTTACTCTCTCACTCACCTTATTATATTCTATTGAGAGAGAGAGAGACTCCTTCATCAGCAACCTTCACCTTCTCGCAAGCAGCCCCTGTTTCTTAAAAAAAAAAAAAAAAGTGTTATATATCCCGTCGCCCAGGGGCGGATGTACAACTTATGGCACCCGGGCTGTAGCCCAGGTAAGTTTATCTGCACTCTATTTATATTATGTACATTTTATGATCTTTTTACATTTTAGCCCACCGCACTTAATTAGTTTAGCCCACTTAGCCCAACTCACTTAATTAACTCAGCCCACTAAACATTAATTATTCTTTCTCGTATCAGCAATTCAAAAGCTATAGCCTATAAGTTATAACACATAAAGGAAACCCTTGTTCAGTTCACATGCACCAGATTTTGTGAGGAGAAATATCGCTACTGCTCGGCTCCTTCCTGCTACATCACCGATTCACCATCTATTTTTTTTCTTCTGAATATTGAGGTATTTTTTTTCCTCTTTTATATATTTTATCATGTTCAATAGTTAAAATATATCCATTTATAGACTATTTACTTTGTTGATATTTATTATTGCGGATTACAGAATACAGATTACTAGTGCCTTTTTTTTTTAAATTTTTATTTATTTTTTCTTTTTCTTGAGCATTGAACTGGTCAGCAAAAATTGGTGTTCTTCCTGCTGAGATTTCGAGATCTTTTTTCAATGGTGGTGGCATATTTAGTAAATTATCATGTTTAGGAAATTAATTATGATCAATAAATTAATTCAGTTTTT